AAGTGTAAACTATTATTGTGACTGGGAACTTGATTTGCTGTGTAATTCTGTTGTGTACTGTCCAGACGTGACAATATTATATTTTCGATATGCAATAGAGATTTATTAGGCCTGTTCCAGTACGACCTTTGCTGTAAAGAATTTTCTATTTAGAATTTTTATGTTTTTCCATTATGTTAATCAAGTTTAGTGGCTAGGGAGATAGTGTTAGCATTAGAAGTGAAATATTTTTAGTAATTCATGAAAACAATAAAGCCTGCCCACATCGGACGTGTATGTATAATAACAGTTTTTATTTTTTTTGATGTATATGCTATAATGAAACTTCGGAAAAAATATGGATTTGTTTTTACGAGGATTGCAAAGAATAAAAAAACACTCTTCGATTGTCATACATGAAATTATAAATATTTTAAATAAATCTGCAGTATATAAAAAAAAAAGTCATTATCAATACCCTTCATCTCTCATCGGAAACTTTTTTATTACATCCAGCATTGGCACAAGCTAGATAATAATCATTTTCTATCTTAATAAAAATAAAATGTGCAATGAAATATTCAACCGAAAAAAACGAAATATAAATTAATTTTATTTGACTAAATAATTTAATTCAAAGGGAAAAATTATGCGAGATATGTTTGGGTCTCATTGAATGATGTAAAACTCTAAAATGTTCCATGATTAAGCTATTTTTGGAAACACAATTTTACATAATCCCTACTTTATTTTTCTGACATAAGATAATCGGAAACTTTATTAGCTTGAAAGTTTCAAAATAAAATTAGATACATCTTTACTAAGACCAAAGATATTTTCCATCAATGTCAGTAAAATCAATGATGCTTTTTCTTTTTTCTTTTTTATCTCCTTTCTTATTTCGTTCATGATTGAGGAAATGTCAGATTCTCCTGAAGAAAGAAAAGTTATAAAAAATATATATACATCTACGTTTATGTAGCACAAACACAGTTCCCATTGTCTAAAATGTCTAAAACGTCAGATCCTTCCTATAATGTATAACTATCTGAATCCCATACACGTGGCCAAAACAATCCACAAAAAGCATTCCACAATAACGTCTTCCGATAATAATAATATGATTAAAATTAAACTGCTTAGCTTCAGTTATGTAACATTAAAGCTCCTTCACACTATTTTCTTTAAGATCTTCAGTTTGGAGATTAAGACGAAGAGAAGTTCCTAATTTTCAACTAAAATAGGAGAATTATTGCATGATTGATTAACGAGTCCCGCACCAACTGACACTGGACACCCGGAAGAACTGTCTCGCTTTATTTTAGGTTCATCGTTTGAGAGTACAAGATAACACAGCATTTTTGTGGTTTCCTTTGTCATATAGAGCCATCCAAGGTATTGTCTTGGAACAATTGCTCCAAGCTTTACTGCAGTTCTCTAATTTTTTCATAGTTGGAACATTCAAAAACAATGTTGGCATCATTTTCAATCTTGTCATTGTTGTTAGTTTGTTGATTTCGTATATCTGTTATCTCATTTGTCTCATTTTTGCTGTCCCACAACAAATTGATGTCCCGAAGAAGTATTTCCTTTCCGAACTGAAAATGTGAGGTTTACTGTGGTTGGGCGAACAAACATATTCTCCTTCATTTGCTTACAAGAAGTTTCACCATTTTCAAATATGTAGTTTGTTTTTGATAATTTGTCAGTACGTTTATTCCTTTGTATTTGACCTGTGCGAATAAAGTCAAAAATGTAAATTGGGAGTTGACCTGGAGGACAGCTCATCTGTTCAGGATATCATTGTTGGTTTTGAGCTTTAATAAAGTGTCATTTAGAAGGTTCTCATTTAAGCTAATGAATGACGAATTACTAACATTGTACCTTTGTAAACAAAATTTATTATTATATAAAATTAACAAATGTCCATTTTGTCAATTGAAAATTGAGAATAACATACACATATTTACATACCTGTTAGAGGATCTGAAAGAACAATTAATGAAAATTCTCATCCATTAAGAAAAAATTAGAGATCTACGTAATTGATTTTTGATTTGAAAGACCAACGTCTGATAAAATACAACGACGTATGTTTTTTTGGAATATTATTGTAGGATTAATCTCAAACACCCTTGTAACTCTCATTACTAATGTAACAGGTATCCCAAAGAAATGAAATCAATAATAATTCATACACAAGTTCAAACAACATTTATTAAGTTATGGAAATATTGATGTGACAAGTTTATGATCTGGGAAAAAAGTCAAAATATTTCAAAAAAAAATGTAGAAAAAAATGAGGAAGAAAAAACCTATAATGAATGCCAAGAAACTATCATAGATGTGATCAATTATAAAATAGATTGTAGTTCAGGAGACAGAAAAAATTCACTAACTATGACAATTTTTCATGTGCAGAAGTAGTTGCTGTTGAAATTTTTAAGGAAATTAGCATAAGGGGATTTCATGTCACTATAAAAACAACTGACAGGGCCTTGGCTAATCAGTTTTCCAGGTTTACTGAGTAATGGTGAGCCAAGCCATAAATTATTTTTTAGTTTTAGCTAACTCTTTTATGTAATTAATTGTTTATAAATTGTATATTTATTTATCAATGTAATAATGTAATAAACATTCTGAAGTGAGACTCCATTTGTTTTAAAAAAAAAAAAATTAATATAACATTAGTGTTATCACAAACATTATCACAAATATTATTATGCTAACCGAAGTTTCTTTGAACTAAAGTTACTCCTTAAATAATACAATTCCTGTATGCTTATGTTAGGCTCAAGACTGTTGATATCAACTATTTTTATATGTATATAATTCTTGAGTAAATGAGCTAAATTTTTTTATTCTTAATTTCATCGAAAATTAAAATTATCAATACATAAAATTAAGATAATTAATTCTAGTATCTTTAAGCCTTCGAACACAATTTATTATAAAAAAAAACTAATAAACCTAATTTAAAGAAGTTATTGATCTGCACTTTTGATTATATCTGTTTTTTGAATTAAATTGATTTATTTACGTAATAAAATAATTATAAATTGTACAAAATGTTATATTTTCCTTATTACATTAAATGATGTGATTTTAATTAGAATATTTAAAATTTAAATTTAGCAAGTTCATTTTCCAATAAATATTTCACCTAGATGTCCACATCAGACGTTGGGCATGCAACCAGTTTTATTTTTGATATATTACGGATCAAGAATTTTTATATTATGGAGCATCTCATGTAATATAATCAACAGTACATACTTATATTTGCTACAGTATATCGAACTTTGGTAATATCCTATATGAATGTAAAGAAATAAATAAATCATTATTTTCAAATAACAAACAAAATAAAGACAAAAAAATATAGAAAAATAGAAAATAATTGTCATACATTTATAATTTTCAAAGTTTGGCATGAACATCTGAATATATAAGATTTAAAATAAGCTTTTTCAAAAATGGCATCATGCCTACATACATTTACAATATTATCAAAAAAAATAAAATATTTATAAAATATTTGGTATTAGAAAATATTCAGTGATGATTGTTACCACTGGGCAAAATTACATGATTCCTCGATCCTAACCTTAACTTTGTTAATTTTGCCCAACGGTGACAAGTATACTTTTTTATAAAAAAAAAAATTTACGGTGAGATTGATTTTTTTGTTTTATAAATTTATTTAATTTTTTCCTATTAAAACAATATCGCTTCGAAAGTTATAATATAAAAAGATTAAGATTTAATTTTTTCGACTAAAGTAAAATTATTTTATGCATTTTATTATCTCCAGCATTTCATTTATTCTCTTCAATATTATGTCCGTATATTTCTTTTTATTCTTCAACATTATTCATCTTATCGCATACTTTATCAGTTAAATGTATAAGTAAATAAATATAATTATATGTATTGTGATTATCATATTATTCATATTATTCATATTAGTTTGTCAATATAGTTAAATAATTTCGAAGCATATAATTTAAGAACTTTTAAAATCATACATGTTAAACAACAAAAAAAATAATCGAAAAAAAAATCGAGAAAAGAAATTATTTTCTCAAAAAATTTTTAACCAAAGTGAAAAAAAGAATCAGATTAAGGGAAGCTAATTCCGTTAATTATATTATTACTATTATTGTAATTATTATTGCGTCGTCTATTAAAATGTCCTCTTTTGTCTTGATTAATATTATTAAATTCAATCGCCAGCAAGTCGAATTTTCTTCTTTGATCGATGGATGCCGAATTCCAAAGGTCACGACAAAAGTCTTTCGTAAGTGGAATGAGTTCATTTTTTAAATAAATTTCGAATTGTATGAAAAAAACATTTTGTCCACTTAATAATATTTCGTTTCCCCTCGTATAGTGAATTAAATCGTGAGCATTTAATAAAAGGTGATTCAATAATAATGATATTAAATCCTTATTTAATGTATACATATTTAAATTATATTATTTTTTTTTGATGATTAAAAAGTATGAAATTTATAAAAATTGTGAAATTTTAAAATTGTAAAATTATAAAAATAATAAATAATGATATATCTATATAAGTAAAAAATTGACGAGATTAAATTAAACTTTTTTTATTCTATTATTTGAATATTTTTTTTTATTTTTTATTTTTTTTTATTTTTTAATCGAAAGGGCATTCTAAATTTTTCGTCATTATTTATAACTAAAAAAATCCGTATTTTAAAATATCTCCATGGCAAAAATCGCGCATTGATCATTTTATCATTCTGACGTAACAGTTATAAAATTAAAGTTTGGGAGAAAAGAATAATTTAATATGGTATGGTTAATTTAAATTACTATAAAGTAATTAATTTTTATGCTTTTAATTTCTATTATTTAAAATTAATATTTAATGGGTATTGCTAGTTATCTTCTTTAATATATGTCACTTTACTCTTTAATTTTTAAGATTGTTTGACCTTTTTATTTTGAATTCTATTGGCTGATTTCAAAAAGAACTTAACCTTAACATATTCTCGCGTGTTAGACTCATGAGATCTACCCCACATTGATCATCATATCATCACGCATCCACCATCACGCATCCACCATCTCATCATCCATCATTCATTCGAAAGAATCATATGAACGAGAAGCATATGAAAAATAACAACAAATAGAGGAAGAAAGTAAAGAGAACGTGCTAGGAGGGAACAAGCACGGAATAATATGAAAGATAAGAATTAGAACGTCAACAGAGAAGTACAGTATGTTTTTATACCATACCCATTTGTATTTAACATACTGTATATATTAAATAGTTTTGGGTTTTTTGGAGCCTTTTTTGAGCTTTTTTTGAGCTCCTTTTTGGGAAAAAAAGTAAATGAATTCCTTTTTTAAAAATAAAGTTTAAATACGCAAAATGTGATCATCCAGGATGATGTATATACTGCAATCATCAAAGAATTAAAAGATGCATCTTACAACTTTTAAGTATGATGTAGCAGTTACCAATATGACAAGGACTCCCATTTGCTTATTAAATTGGAATTTTAATAACTTTATTAACAAGAGTTTTTATTAATGTTACTGTATTTGATTTCTTTCTTGGAATTTATGAGAGATAATTAGATAAGATCTTTTGATTTTTTAAATAAAAAATTAATTTTCACAATTGTATTAAACAAAACTATTGTAGTATTATGTAAGGTATGACACGACTCCCATGTGTTATTAAATTGGAATTTTAATAACTTTATTTCTTTCTTTCTTGGAATTCATGGGAAATAATTAGATTAGATCTTTAATAAAACTAGGAAATGGAAACCATTACAAGTCCGGAACAAATTTTCCATTTTTGATTTTGTTGTTTGTTGTTTGTTAATAACTGGTTTATTTATTGTGATAATAATTAAATACGCGACAAGCGTCGTAACCATAATCACGTGTTTGATCAAATCTTCATCATGAGTAGAAGTTCGAAATCATTGTCCAATGGGATATATCAATTATTACATGATCGTTATCTTCAAACTTAGTGACCAGATCGTTATCATTAATCGTTATCTTTTAATTAGTGACCAGCTCAGAATCGTTATCAATTCAATGCATAGAAGTATAATGCCCTACAATTAATTTTGCAACAAATTAAACAAACTAATTGTAGTATTATATAAGATATAAAAAGAATAATTAAAATAATAATGCATAAAATATTGAATTATAATTAGAAGATAATGTGAATAGCTATTGCGGAATAATTATTTGAATAAAGTAAATTAATAATAATTATTTAGCTGTTATTATAAAAGAGAAATCTATCAAATTCCTTGTATGTAATTTAATCTTTATTTCAAAATGTTTTATATCACACATTCTTTGCTTTAACTAATTATGATGCTAATTATGATGTGTAATTAAAATCAATAGTTAAATGATTAACTAATCAATAGTTAAATGATTAACTAAAATAAATGAATCAATTCAAAAAAATAGTTAAATGAGTTTAATATTTATAAAATAGTATTGATAGCAAAAAAATAAAAAAAAATTTCTTGATAATAATTATTATTTATAACTACGAGGTATGGTATTGAGAATTCTAGAATGATTGTTGAATTAAAGTCTACAAGATTTATTACAGAAATAGGATTTGAATATTTACATGGGAATTTTATCTAAAGTAACATACAAAAGTACTTTCTAAAAAAAAGTTATTTTAAAAAATAATATTTAAACAAGACTTTCAGAAGTTCTAATTTATACAGAAATATCTTATGGAGGAATTATTGATACAGAAAATA